CAGCCGCCTCTGCCCCAGCCACACCTCACAGCCTCCCCTCAACCCCTGCCTCTGCCCCAGAATCCCCCAGCCCTGGCCCCTTTCTCCTAACACAGTCCTTTCCATCTTTTGGAAACTTCTCCTCAGCTGCCCACACTGTTCCTTTCCTAGGCCCTATCCCAGCAGGCCTTGGTGGTGTTGGGGGGGTGGGTGGTGTTTGCTGCTTTCTAGGTCACCACAGAGGGAGCTGGAAGCTTGGGGATGTGGGTCAAGATTGTGGGGGCTGCGTCTGAGCACTCCACATCCCCAGGCACAGGCTTCACTGGCTGCAGACTATTATATCCTCAGTCTCCAAACTGTTCCTACCCCAGGACCCGGGGCAGAGATGTGTGGAGTGGCATTTATGACGTGGGCAGTGCCAGGGAGTGGGGACCAAGCCCGGAATTGGAGGGGGTGTGTGCAGGATTGGGATAAGCAATGGGCCCTAGGCAGTCTGGGCACTCTGAGAGAAACTAAAAGGGACAGATCCCCCAGGCCCTGGCCCATGGGTCCTATGCCTTCTGTCCAGGGCTATAACTGGTGGACACTGTCTCCAGTACTGGGTCCTTGGAGAAACAAGTTCCCTAGCCACGGAATGTTAAGCTGCTGCTGTACCTGCCTGGTCTTGTCTAGCTTGACACCCTATAGTTTGGGGGAGCTGCCCAGTGCCAGCCTTGGTGGGGGGGGGGGCTGCATCTTTGGACAGCTTAGGAGTCACACATGATCAAGGATCTAACGCCTGCTGCTTTTGCCCTTGTCTGGCCCCCCAGCAAACTGACCTGGGACCTTTAGTTTTTGAACTATACCCCTGAGGGGGTTAGCCATGCTCCATGCTTCCAGGGGGTTAGCCATGGGAAGGAGACTGGAGGCTGGGCCACATGCCTCTCCAGCTTCTTGGGCTGCTTCTTGGTCTGGCTGACCCTTGCCTTCCTGCCTCCCCCATGCCAGCTGTGCAGCGCATTGCCGAGTCGCATCTCCAGTCCATCAGCAACCTGAGCGAGAACCAGGCCTCAGAGGAGGAGGATGAGCTGGGGGAGCTGCGGGAGCTGGGCTACCCTAGAGAGGAAGACGAGGAAGACGAGGAGGAAGAGGAAGAGGAAGAGGAGGAGGAGGACAGCCAGGCTGAAGTTCTGAAGGGCAGGAGGGGGCCTGGTAAGCTGACGGGGCCAAGATGCCTGGGTTCCACGAGTATGGGTTAGGTGGGTTCCTCCCTGAGAGGCCTGGGAGTTTTTTTGACACACGTAAGCTGCGGTCATACAGTGAGGGCCTGCCCATCCTCCCACCCATATGTGCCTTGCTGGGCTTACTGGGGCTGCTCTCATCCTGACCCTGTCCCTCTCCCAATCAGGTTGTCCCTGATAATTCCTCTCTTCCACTTGAGGTTTCAGGCTAGACCCAAGAAAAGACTTCCTCGCCATGGCAGTGAGGGGGTACAAGGAAACGCAGGGATAGACAACTAAGAGGGCCCAATGCCCCCTTTACCTGCATTTCTGAACGTAGGATGTGGTCTTCAGCTAGGAGGCTGAGAGCTGGTTTCTAAGTCCTCCCCAGGACCCTGTGGCTGTGTCTCCCCTTTTTTTGTTTCCTGGGCTGGAGGTGAGAGGGTGCCCTCTAGTGTCTAAATGGAGAATCTAGGATTCAAGAACCAACCTGGTCCTCTGCACCTCCAACCCCAACGGCCTGGGAAGAGACCTGCCAAGGAGGGGCCTAAGACCGACACAGAAGGCCTCAGAGCTAGAGACCCCAGATCTAGAAATCTCCACAAAAGGACCCAAGGCCCAGAGAATTCCTAGGCAGAAAGATCTCTGTCACTCCCATGGCTGTTTTTTCCATGCTTAACTATAGTAGATTGTGCCATATCTATCCCTCCCAGTGCACATTAAACTTTCTGGTCCTTCATTTTATGGGGATGAAAAACAGTTGACCACCCCTGCTTGTAGCGTCCATCCCTCAGATCCAAACAAAATGGCTTGGACCTCTTCTCTGCATCTCTGGAGCAAAAGCTCCTGTTGGAAATTGAGTCCACTCTCACTGAGACCCTTAGGACAGGTAAAGAGGAGGTGAGAGGAGAATGTTTTCTCAGGAGAAGCAGTAGGGCAGAGGGGCAAATGACAAGACTACCAAGGACCAATATCAGTTGCCATCGCTCCTGGAGTGCTGGTGCTGGGCTGGTCAGGGTAGTAACTGTTGTCTTATTTAAGGCAATCTACATAATTTCCCTCTTACTATCCCCTTCAGAGAGGTAATAACTGACTCATCTAAGTCATATAACTATTCACCGGAAGAGCTGTCTTGGGCCAGTGTTCTGTCTATTATACCAGGATGCCCCCAGAAAGCTTAGCCTTAGCTATTACAGAAACTCAGCTCATGCTCCAGGACCACTGAATGGATACCTAAGAGCCTGCGTTTTTATCCCTTCTACCCCATCCCCAGCTGGGGAGAAAATAACTTGTGGCCAGGGTCTGGAGGGACCCTGGGAGCGCCCACCCCCTCTGGATGAGCCCCAGAGAGATGGAAGCTCCAAGGACCAAGTGGAAGATCTGGCACTAAATGGTGAGGCTTGGTGGTGGGGAATGGGGAGGTGGGGAGGTGGGTTGGGATTTCTCATGAGCGTGGCCAAGCCCTGAGTCCCTCTGCTTGCCTTGCAGAGTCTGGGGAGGAGCCACAGCGCCCTGCCCACCCTGAGCCTGGCACATAGGCATCCGGCCTTGCATCTCTCAGAAGGAAGTGGAGGGGGCATTGCTGTTCCCCAGAAACCCACTCTGTCCCCACCCTATTTTGTACCCTTCCCCCTCACTCGCTAGGGCTGTGGCTTCTGACTTCTAGAAGACTTAAGGCTGGTCTGTGTTTGCTTGTTTGCCCACCTTTGGCTGATGCCCAGAGTTCCTGGGTACTTGCTGCCTGATGCCTACCCCTGCCAGTCATTCCCCCATTTACCCAGAGGGAGGCGGGATGTGAGAGACTTTGCATCAGATAATCCAGTAAGGGTGTGTGTGTGGGGGGGCAAAGGTTTATCCTTCACAATTCCACTCCCCAGACCCTCTCCCCTGGGCACAGGAAACCCACAGGGCAGGACCCTAAGATCTGGGGAAAGAGGGTACTGAGAAATTGTAGGTACCCTTAGATCCTTCTCCATCCCCTCTCCTATGGGGGATTTCAAGTTACCACCCCTCTCTCTGGCTTCTCCCAGGGCCCAGGATTCAGGCATCCTTCTCCTCAGCTTCAACATTTTGGAAATCTTCCCCTTATCACTCCTGCTCCCCAGCCTGGGTGCCTGGAAGAATGGACTAGCAGAGGCTGCTTTGTTGCGTTTTGTTTATGCTTTGATGCCAGGAATGCCGCCTAGTATACGTCCTTAGGGGGGCACACGGTGGGGAAGCCAGGTTCTCCTTGTCCTCCAGCTGCTCTGCCCCCTTCCCCTCTTCCCTGACTCCAGGCCTGAACCACTCCTGTGCCGTAATAAATCTTTGTAAATAACTGTGCTGAGACTCCTCTTTCAGGGGAAAGGGGAGGGAGGAGGGGATAACGGGTTCCCGTATGTGGAAGACCTGGTTGGTGGCCATCTCGATCCTAGTGTCCAGTCCTCTAGTCTGGAAGTCTTTCCTGCAGACAAGCTAGGAGCATTCTTACGAAGGACCACAGAAGTACTAGATCCTGCTAGGGATCGCTGAAAGAGGCAGGGAGAGAAAGAACTTTCAAGAGTAAGTGGGTTCCTCCAAAGGACCTGTCCCCTAGCCCCAAAGACCTCCCCTCAGGAAGTTCCCCTTTTTTCCCCACAGTACCAGGCCTCTGGGGCCCAACAATGATGATGCCCCTGGGCTTCTTTCCCATTTCCCCAACCTTTAAGACCTCTTAAGCAGTCCCCGCTTCCGGCTCTCGGGACGGGGCCCCAAGGCTTGGGGGCGGAGACTGAGGCGAAGGGGCGGGGCTGCACGTCTACGCACGTCCCTGTTCGCTCTGTGGGGCGGGCTCAGCGGCGGAAGCGGCGCCGCCGCCGGGAGATCCTGTTCCGCTCGGAGGCCCGGCCCGGGCTGCGGGGTTGGCTGCGGCTGGGGCTGGAGGAGCACGGTCGGTGGCTGACATGGAGCAGGTGGGTCCGGGGGAGGTCACTGGGGTCGGGTGGTACGAGGGCTGTGTCTTGCCAGCGGATTCCACCTCTCTGCCTAGTGTCCGTTGTTGGTTCCGTCCGACCCTTCCCACACCCTCGGCGTCCCAGGTTCCGCCCCCTTCCTCTGCTCGGCCTCGCTCCGCCCCACGCGGGGTTCTGGGGGCTCAGACGCCGACCCTCCTCGGCCCCGCCCACCCGAGAGCGCCCGGGGAGGGCGTCCGCGATTGTCCTCCCGAGCCTCGCTCTCCACTGTGAAGGGAGGGGCGAGGGACGAAATCTGGGTTTTAGGGGGCAGGAGTTCGATGTGGGCAGGGGTCAGGGTCTTTGAAAGAGGAAGAAAATATACATTCCATCAGGTATGCGTCTCGCTGTCATCCGGTCTACCCCAACTTCCTTTGAAAACGGCAGTGTATGACTTCCTAACTGACATCAAAAGCGCCCTTTAAAGAATCTTTCTTGAGTTCTTAGAGGTGCATAACACCAGTGACACTCGTTCCTAATTGATATAATTGACACCCCGCCCCCTTTGGTGTCCTCCGCGTCAGCATCTCATTTTCTTCCTACTGTTCTGACAGTAGAAGTACCGTTTCACATTCTCTTCTCCTGCCCAGCCCCCACTATACACTGAATTTTGATGGTCTCATCCACTCTCATGGCTTCAGCTTTACACCACCTAAAGGCCCAACAGGCGCTCAGATCGACTTCTTTCTTCAGCGCAGCCCCTCCTTGGCGCCCCAGACTTGGCCATCCAGCTACCAGTTGGACAGCTCCACTTCGGCTGGAGCTCACTTCAACTGGTCTCCTTCCCTGCAAGCGCGTTCTTCCTCTGCCATCCCATCCCAGCGAGAAACGGGAAATTATCTTACAGTTCCTCTTCTCCCTCAATTCCCACATCAGTGGGGTGACCCAGTCCGGCCAACTTCCTGAACATGCTTCAAACCTGATCCTGGGCCTCCATCTCTTCTGTGACCACCTTGATGTGTTTGTCACCAGGATAACCTCAGTGGCTTGCTAGCAACCTCCAGTCGTGGCTGCCTGCAACCCAGACTCCAAACTAACTCTTGTGATCCTTTTAAAACACAAGTCTCATAGTGTTACTTCCTTGCTTAAAACCCTTTGTTGGCTTCCCATTGCTGTGGGGAAAAGGCTGATTCCCTAGCACTATTTACAGAGCTCTCTGGGTTCTGACCTCTTTCCTGCCAGTTTCCTATGTGCACCCTGAAGTCCAATAACATGCAGCTGCCTGCCCACACCTTGCAATTTTGTGTCTCCTTGCCTTTGCACACCAGACCCTCTGTCTGGGAAGCCCCTTCTCTTCTCTGCCAGGCTACCTTCTACTTGTCCTTCTCAGTGCTCAGCTCAGACAGTACCACCTCTGGGTAGACTTCCTTCCATCTACCCTGTCCAAGACTTAACACCAACCCACTGTGTCCCTACAACACCCTGTCCGTAGTAGAATAGTGGTTGAGCAAACAGACTCTCGAATCAGACTTTGTGGGTTCTGACACTATTTTATGACTTAGATGAAGAAAGCACCCCAGTTTCCTAATTTGTAAAATGGAGATAGCAGTGTGCCTACCTCATAGAGTTACCGTGAGGATTAAATGAAATTATGCGTAGAGCTTAAAATAGCATGTGAATGCTCAATAAATAAACCTTAACCGTTACTGCTTATATAAGAACATTCTAGAGCGGTGGTTGTCATTTTTAATTTCTTTTTTTTTTTTTTTTCAACGTTTATTTACTTTTGGGACAGAGAGAGACAGAGCATGAACGGGCGAGGGGCAGAGAGAGAGGGAGACACAGAATCGGAAACAGGCTCCAGGCTCTGAGCCATTAGCCCAGAGCCCGACGCGGGGCTCGAACTCACGGACCGCGAGATCGTGACCTGGCTGAAGTCGGACGCTTAACCGACTGTGCCACCCAGGCGCCCCGTCATTTTTAATTTCTTAAATTGCTTGAGAACAGTTGATGTGGCTTACTTCTCATTCTGTTCCAGAACTCCAAAGCCTGGCTTTTTGTCAATAAATAAAATGCTGGGGTGGAGGGCATTGGGGGCAGGATCTGGATTTATTGAGTGAGGCTTCAAGAATGGAAAAAACCCAGACCTGATGTCAGTCTGCTCAGGAAATGACTCAGGAAGTGAATGACTGTTACATGGCAAGCATTAATTCTAGAGAAATGTACACAGAGCTCTGGGAACCCATGGGGAGGAGGGCCAAGAATGGCTTCCCAGAGGAGCAGACAATTAGTGAGGGACCTTAGAGCAAGAGGATGAAGTTACCAAAGGGAGGTAGAGACCAGGGTGGACTCAGAGAATGGGCACCTGGCTCCCTTTCAGGGGGAGGGCCGAGGTGGGCAAGAGGGCTGAGGCAGCCTCCTCTGCTGAGGTTGGGGATTCCTTTTCTTGCTTGACCACAAAGAAGTGTCTCCTGGATTTAGGAGCCTGTGGGGACCACACCCAGGAGAGGTGTGAAGGCCTGGTGCCTGGTGTTTGGGGCAGGCCCCCTGGGGTAGTCGGTTTGAAAGCCTGTGGGCTGGGCCTATGCTTTAGACCTGAGTCTGGGCCTTTGCCTACCTGGAATGCTCATCTTCCTTGCCTGTGGTTGGTAGATGCGGATTCTTCAAGGCCTGGGTCAGATGGCTCCTCTCTTTGTGGCTTTCCCAACCTCACCCACTCCAACCTGGGTCAGATGCTTCTCTGAGAGCCCACAGTCCATTGTTTGTTCCTCACTGAAAGTGCTGATTACAGTATGGCACCGTGTTTTATTTATGTTAGCCTCTCTCACCAGACCCAGAACCCCTAAACATCTCCAGGGACTAGCACAGTATCTGGCATGTTATAGGTTCTCAGTTCATATGCTGCATTAGACTGAGCTCTTGCACACCAAACTGGGGAGGAGGTGTGGGTGAGACCAAAAGTCCTGTGTATTTGGCAGCTCATACTTGTTCCATTGAGTGGTAGAGACTGTTGGCTCCATTTAACAGATGAGGAAGCTGAGACTCGGGAAGTCACTCAGCAGGAACTTCAAGAACTGTCTCTTGACTCCAGGTCTACAGCTGTCTCTGAGAAGCTGCCTCCAGATCCCAGCCCCCAAAGGGGCAGCTGCCATGTCTATAGGACAGGGGACAAGCAAGGCATCCCATCTGACCAGTTGTGTATCCCTGTGAACCTTTTCTGGAGAGGGAAAGGCCGACCCTGGCTTTTGTCTGGTCAGAGCTGGTGCTGGGAGGGGTCTGTGCTGAACTCCTTTCTGCCTGTGGGACCTTCCCTTGAGTGGACTGATAGGACTGAGATCTCTCCCGGAAGATGACTGGCCCTTTCCAGGCTGACCTTGAGAACTTGACCTCATTAGCTCCCAAGTTTTATCCAGTAGCACTAAGGGTGTGGTGGGGCCTGACTCACCAGCCCCTGAGTAGGCCAGGGCATCCCCGACATTCAACAGGGCCTGGCATGTGGACGGGGCAGGACAGCTGAGTAGATCTTAGCCTGCTAAGGTTTTCCAGTAAAGTGTACCATCAGAATGTCCGGGCTGGAGGGGGCACTGTAAAGTGATGAATGTAGTTTCTGTTTTGGCTCGACTCTTCCCCTTTCCACTTCCCCAGAAGGAAAGGAGAAATGGAGCCTGGTTTGTGTCCTCCTCTCCTTAAACTCTTCCTTCTCTAGAAAACTTTGCAAACTCTCTAGTGGTGGGACAGAGTGGGGGCCAATAAGCCAACTGTGCCAGGGCTGATGGCACAGGCCACTGAGCCCTGAAGTACAGTAGAGCCTAATATGTGCCATCCTGGGTCAGCTCTCTGTGGCCAGGCTCATCCTTCCATCCAGCAGCACAGATGGGATGCTCAGTCTGGGCAGAGTGCCGTGTGTACATGCCTGGCCCAGGACCCTACCTCTAACACTGTCTCATGGCTCCTAGTAGTAGTAATAGCTGCTGTTAATTAAGCATAGACACTTTGCATGTGTTATTTCTAATCCTTTCAGTACCTCTGTGAAGTGGTCTCTGTACTATCCCCGTTTTATAGATGAGGAAACTGAGGTTTAGAGAGACTGAGTGATTTACTCAAGGGCTCACAGCCTAATGAAGAATGGCTTTGGGCTTTTTTTTTTTTTTTTTCCTTGAGAGCATGAGCAAGCAGGGGAGAGGCGCAGAGGAAGTGAGAGAGAATCTTTTTTTTTTTCATTTTTTAAAATTTAATATTTATTTTTGAGACAGAGAGAGACAGAGCATGAGTGGGGGAGGGGCAGAGAAAGAGGGAGACGCAGAATCCCAAGCAGGCTCTAGGCTCCCAGCTGTCAGCACAGAGCCCAATGCGGGGCTCGAACCTGTCAACCGTAAGATCTTGAGCCGAAGCCAGACGCTCAACTGACTGAGCCACTCAGGCTCCCCGAGAGAGAGAAAGAGAGCGAGAGAGCAAGAGAGAGAGAGAGAGAGAGAGAGAGGGAGGGAGGGAGGGAGGGAGAGGGAGAGAGAATCTTAAGCAGGCTCCATGCACAGCACAGAGCCTGAGGCAGGACTTGATCTAATGACCCTGGGATCATGACCTGAGCTGAAATCAAGGGTCAGACGCTCAACTGACTGAGCCACTCAGGTGCCCCAAGAATGGCCTTGGGCTTTTGACTCCAGGTCTGATGCTCAGTCCCCAGACTCATGCCCTTTCACCTGTTCCAGGGTGGGCATTACAGACCCACAGATCAGTTAACTTCTTAGACATGTACCATGGCAAAACACTGTGACCCAGGCCTAAAGCATTCAAGAAAAATGACTTTGAGGCTCAAGTCTAGCTGTTTGATAAGGAAAGTACTGAGCCAGAGTCCTGAGAGCTGGGGTTGGGGAAGCCTGGAGGGTGAGGGAGAGCTGGGGTGGGAAAGCCCAGGGGTGAGGTCATTCCAGAATGAGAAAACACGGAAGGGAGACCTGCCGGCCATGGTGTGTCCTGGGAGCAGCCAGTGGTCAGGAAAGTGTCGGGAAGGGGACAGGGAT